GCTGAGAAAGATGTAAACAATGGGTTGACTGACACCTATGTACAGAGGCAGTGCAGTGTTGGCAGTAACTTTAGGGATCCTGAAAAATATAACCATGCGTGCCAAACAGTGACAATGAGTGTGTCTAACTGTGTTTTTGGCGCACTGTGTGGAGTGACCAACCCCTTGGTTTTTGTACGCTTTTAACCGATAAAACCAAGTCCCCGGCAAGGTGACAGATAACCTTAGTTTCACGTACCCACTTGCAAATAGTAGATGTCGCCGCACAACATAAAGAAAGGGATTGTCCTTCACAGCCGAAATGACATTTCTCTATGAGAATCCAACTTTTTGTTTCTCCATGTGTGGACGTCAAACAACAGGCAAGAATGCTATATGATAAGAGTGAATTTATTATTTTCGTGGTGAAATGAAATAATTAATTTATTTTCATACATAATCAAATGACAATTAAAATACTTTGCTGACTTCTATTTTAATTTGCTCTTGAATATAATCAGGCCACAGATTTTTTTTATCATAGTGGTGTAATAAAAGCTTTCCATGGGCCGTATAAATAAACAAAAGTTTACTTTCCTGTGTTTATTGCGTATTCTTCTGACATGCAAGACTTCTAAAACTAAACTGAAAATACTCATTAATCACCACAAATAATTCAACGTTGGAAGATATTACGAACGGCTTGCAAATAGAATCCAGAATGCATAATTCACCAACATGCTAACTATCAGGACTTATTTTTAAGCAGGAAGCAGTTAAAAATCATCGTAATATCTTGTTGTGCATCGATTTATTTAAAACTCCAGCCTGAGGAATATGCCTAGAACTTTGGAAGCATTAAGAATTCTTTCCGCAAAAAAACTTACAAAATTGATTATATTTCGCGGTGAGTAGCAGTTTTGCTGGGTGATGAGGATCATTTTGTAGATCCATTTAAGATTGAAGAAATACATAAAATTAAATGAACCAAATCAAACAAGTGTCTCACAAAAAAATTATTCATGATGAGCTTCTGAAACAAATAGATTAAAGTGATTATCTTTTGTTACACCCGTCGGTATTATAAACGGTATTCCTCACCAAACTTGAAGCCTTCAGAAACAGATGAGTATCATTAGTACACTCTTAATCGCTGCAAAGCCATTCTTTCTTTATTCATCATCGACGATAATAGCAATAGCGTTGAAAACACCGAAGGTATCCTTGTTCAATTCTCATTTGTTCCAATTAATTCGATGACAATCATATATTTTCGTTTTACATATCATATGTGCAAGCTTTTTGTATTGTACTGCTCGAATACATACGGTACACAAATTAAAAAAAAAAGTTTCATAAACTGATTATGCATTGTGCATACTACTAAGAATCAAAGGGGAAATTTTAGCTGGTATCACTGGAGTTGCTATGTCAATACACTCAAAAAAGGCCACAAGTTTGATCGAAGTGCTTAAACACTTGATTTTTAGTATTCACAATCACATTTATTTTAAGTGTATTTCACCATGCTTCAATGTGTTCTACACGTTAATTTCTATGAAACACTAGAAACTTTGAAATGTTGATAATCTTTCTCTATCAATTCTAGCGTATTGCACATTGAACAAAACGTCTGTTCAAAACAGATGGATTTGAAGTGTTTTCCATTTCAATGTTATGTGAATTGCATGTTCTACAAGCTCAACATCGAAAACAGGACGTCACAATACCACCTTCAATCGACCAAATCGATTCGACGAAGAGACTACTGGCTTTCTTTTTCTGTTAAAGTCGAACAGCTTCGCTGCATTCAAAAACTTTAGTCACGCCGCTCAAACAAATGTTCAACCGTTTGTCTTTCTTTCTTCCGTCGCTCCATTATTGGTCTCTCTTTCAAGTTTCGGTGAAACGAATAAGCGAAACAGCGCTCGACTTTGGTTTGGTTTGGTTTCGTCTTTCATGAAACACATCAACAGAGGTTTCATGACGGCGGAAAATGAAACAAATTGAAAGAGCGGTGATAGAGTGTTAATGAAAAGGATTGAAAGCCATAATGAGGTTTCGTTTAACTAGAAAATCGACGTTACTTATATTGAAAGCTATGGGCAAAGCAACGACGAGAAAATCCACAGCCAGCCTTTCCTTCTAAGCGTGCTGCTTTTTCATTTTCGTTTCTTGCTAGTCTAGCTAGGTGTTATAGAAATGAAGCGTTGAACAAGTTTGTATGAGAGAAACAAAACTCGAGTTCATTTTAGAGCTTCAAAAATGTAGAGCCCTGGTGACATCATCCTTATCAACCAGCCTCATATATGAGAACAACCGTGGCTCAGTGAGATCGAACGAAGACAACGGCAGTAGCACAACCCAACAGTCCAGGTTCAAATCCCAAATCAGACCCATTAAAAAAAAGGCATGAGGGGATGCTCTGCCCCCTGGCAACTTCGTTTATATATTTGTCGATTCAATTTTAGAATCGGTAACGTAGAAGTCGATAAAGTAGAATACTGTACAACATTTCAACTATGCAGGGCTGTCATCTGATCACTCAATGCGTGCAATGTACTGATTTTCTGTAATATACAAAGTGAGAATCAAGCAAACACGAAGTTGGCTTGTTGTTCACCCTGCGCAAGTGTAAAGCAATGGAGAAGAGAAGACAGACACACACCCAAAAATAACGCAAGCTCAATGTGTAGCCATCGCTCTCACGGCTCCGACGCAAAGAGCGCCTCTCAGTGTAGGGTTGCAAATGGGAAACACAGCTAAAATACAAAATTCTGCTTTGTTATACCCGAGGGGCTATCAACTTCATAAATCAGCTGAATTGTAAATACACACTTCGGAAAATACAAAAAAAAAAACGTGAATGTGTACACGCTGAAACTAAAATATCCTAATAAAGATACTCAAAAATACATCGAAAATACTTTGTACATCCAAAATACATTTCATAATGAATTTAATACACTTTAATACATAAATACACAGCCCCTCGGTTATACCCTTCTTCATCTCCTATACATGCAGTCGTAGTAAGCAAAATATGCAAAGAATTCAAAGAAGACATTAGCGCTTGTTGTATTATATTCGCTCCCTGCGCCGGACGGAGTGTACCGCTCATTGTGTGGGTTGCTTTCTCACGGATTAGTTGGAGAAGAGTGTGTGTAGCAAATGGGAGAACCACACACTCTTTGTCGAGTGTTGTGAGATCGAGATGCATGCACAAAGTTTCTTTTCTAACGCTCTGAGGTGCTTTCCAGCCCTGCAACTAATTATGATGTGCAAAGCTGTTGATATCACCATGTGAGGCACATAGACTCCAAGTGTGTCACAATTCGAACCAATAGTTTTTAGGTATGGTTCACAGCATAAGATTCACACATAAAATGGATGTGTTTCACAATAAGTGCACATTTAAGTGTAATAGACATGAGTATGACGTGTGGAATTTTTTGAGTGTAACGTCGCGTGTGTGGATTGGTGAGCGCGCGACAATAAGATGAATTTTAAACTTTAATTTTGTTTACTGTACAACATTTCCGCATTCGCCCTTTTCAGATAATGCTTCTGAAAATTATGAGTTTAACAGAACCACCAGCACCAAATTGTCGGGGTACACTTGCAATATTTATACTGAAGCTGTCAAGTTGCCCCCGAGTTGGATAAAACGGAACAATGGCTACCTTAGTTGCCAGTTTGTTTCGAATCGGGATTTTCTGAGGCATAAAATCTCTTATCACGCCGTTGGTCCCCGGTCCATGAGTAGATGAGTCGATAAGTAGGGTCTAGGTGTGGGTGCCAGGGAGGCATAGTATTGGTAGCATTGGTACAAATTAAGGAAAAAAAAACATTTCAATGACAATGACAGATTTCAGCAATACTGGTCTTAAGATCATCAGCTTTGTATTTAAATATAAGTTAATTTTAATGAAGTACACTTGAAAAGTTGTCTCGAACAACATTGAAACTGTGAAAAGATTATATTGGTTTTAAGTACAAGGCTTCAATCAGAATCTAAAGAATGATGATAAGCGCCATTCGACCATTATTTTAAAATAGCACACTAAATTGAAAAGCATGACTCAATACGTTCCATCCTCCAGCAAAGGATGACTTGAGTATATCTTCGCAATAAAGCAAATTCTTAGCGAAGCTGCTCCCACGAGCAAACGAAGATAAGTCCTGCTCATATGCAATGATTTATAGATGCCCCTATCAAAAGCAGACGACCAGCTGCATAAAGAATTCCGCACAAACTAGACCACCACCAGGGACCACTTGTTCTACACAAAGAACGAAAGATGCAACACCACCGCACCCGCTCGAGATGCCATTAACGGTTATGGGAAGCAATTTATTTGCAATCAGCTTTTTATTCGTCCCATTCGTCACTACTATCGTTGTATATCATTGGTATTATTGCTCTTACCATCCTCTTCTGTGCACAACAAACGCCTGAGGTGTTTGCTCCCTATTCATGCAACATAACTAATCACCGCTTTCTATCGAACTATCCTCTATTATGTAGATTGCTTTTGTCAATATTGATTTTCTTTCCGTTTCTACTGATTAAAATGAACCTGCTCCGATTATTTTATTATTTGTTTATTACTCCTATTTCTATCCGACCTTACAAACTAGAACGCTATTTTTGTATTTATTTTGTCACTGTTCACAAATTTCGTCCACTCACTCCACCGTTTCGAATTTGCTTTCTTCGTTGGGAAAGTAACCTAAACCTATTTGTATCGATTTGAGTTCCACTCGCCGGGGGGTCCACCGACCGTTGGCATCCCACAGAAAGAAAAAAAAATAACTACCTTATTCCTAACTACACTTCGTCGCTTCGTTTCACGTCGGGGTCTCGTAGATCTTCGCAATGGGCGAGTGGCGAGAATCGATTCTCACTCGTTCCCGGGACGAGTGGCCTTTAGCCGCTTCCCCCACCGGGACGATCTACAAAAGGGATCCACCGGAGTTTTCCAGACTTGATTTTTGTTTTCGATTTGTTTTGGTTTTTTTTTTGCCAACGGGACGCCCTGTGGGATGCCATCCACCGTGAGATTTGGAACGAATTTCAAGTCTTATTGTTTTACTTCCCGTTTGAGCTGATGCTTAGTACGTAGGGATCGCTGCCACCGGACGGGTTGGTGATCAGCAGACTAATAGTAGAAAAATCTATATGGCGATGGGGTTGAGTAGGATGGATAATTGTAATAGCTTGGGTAGGCAGCGGCTGGCGTGGTGGTGGCGGCGGCGGCGGCAGCGTTGGCAGTGGTAGGTGCAGTGAGGGCAGCCGAGTAGTAGGCTCGTTGTGGATAGTCGAACTGCTGAAAGGAATGCTGAAGAGGATTGGCGCTGACCACGTAGGGGCTGTACTGGGATTGAAATGCCAACTGTTGCTGGTACTGGTAGGCTTGTTGCTGGTACTGATAGGCCAGTAGCTGGTTCTGGTAAGCGGTGTACGGGCTATAGTAGTATGGAGTGTAGCTTGGAGAGTAGGCTTGAGAGTAGCTTTGGGGGTAGCTTGGAGTGTACACGGAATATTGGGCAGCAGCATTAAGGTAATCGTTGGCGAAGGGGTACGACTGCGGAATGTACGACTGCTGTGGCTGATAGGCGATCGCTGGTGAGCCCATGGCGGCTACATGCTGCTGCTGTTGCTGTGCCTGTTGCTGTTGCTGTTGTTGCTGTTGCTGCTGTTGGGCTGCCCTCAGTCTCAAACTGGCCAAGAATTTCTCCGTGTCGAAGTGAGGGGCCAGCGTTCCAACCTGTCCAATCGCTTGCTGACGGGCGTCGTCAATTTCGGCTTCAATTTCGTTCTGCGAAACGCGAGCTTCCTGGAATCCGGGTCCCACCAGCAGCCCAGCGGTGATATCCTGATCGGCGGCAACCAGACCGTACTTGCCCTTGGTGACCAGTTTCTTGTTGATGGAAATCGGCAGACCCAGCGATCCGATCTCGCTCGGTTTGATTCCGGCAATGGCGGTGGCAACGGGACGGGCTACGGCCAGACCTCCATCTCCGACGACGGCAGTGGCGATCGGTTTCGACGAGGCTACTCCTCCTTCACCGGCGATGGCGAGACCTGGAGATGGAGAAGGGACATTTAATATTTAGGAAAGTATTTGAAGGTATCTTTTGGTCAATTATTGAGAAGATCTTTGTTTGACCTCAATACCTATGGTGTTAAATTTAAACTCTTTTAGCTCATGTTTAACATGTTTAACGATCGGTAGTTCAATGAATTATTTCAATGGAACTTTTCACTGTCATGTAACAATACATATGCGTGTACATTTCAATACGAATGATTGAATTATTACATACTATCAGGTAAACTTAAATTTGTAGTGCTGTATGTTTCAACAAAGACCAGAAATTACAGCATAGTGCCAAAAGTAAATTTACAAAATTGTTGCTACCCAAGCATCATGCATCGAAATACTTTGCTGCAACTTGATTGTGACTGGAATAAGTTTCAAACATCAGTTATTCAGTGACAAGTGCTACTAGGATATTAAACTATCATACTATTATACTATGTCTGCACTCTTATAGTTTGAAGCAAATACGGGATTAGCCCAAATAACTGAAGCAGCATCTTATTGCAATACATTATTTCTCAACACTCAAAACGAGAGTTGGGAGGGAATGTTACACTTATATCAATATGAAGATTTAGTGTGATAATTTATTAGCTGAAGATAATAGGTTGATAGTTCCGCTAGACTACGGCAGTATGAAAATTGAACAGAAGTTGAAATCAATCAATTTAGATGGTCAAGTTTTGAACCACCACAGCATGCTTTTGGTGCTTCTGTATATGGACGATCAAATGTTAAATACTGTGGTAGCCACAGCATAGTTCTGTTAAAACCTCAACCTTTCATTGATCCATTGAGCGAAGGGCCAATAATGCATAAATACTACCGACACCTGCCATGTGTTGATAGGTTCCATTATGTCCCAGGTTTGGAGTCACCTCCCTGGCACTCGGATGCCGCCAATGATTAATCGCCAATGGATCAATGAAAATGCTGAGGTTTTGACAGAGCTGTGCTGTGGCTACCACATTATTTTACATATGATCGTCCATATGCTGTAGCACCAAAAGCATGCTGTGGTGGGTTCAAAACTTGACCATCTAAATTGGTCAATTGATCAATTTAGATGGTCAAGCTTCGAACTCACCACAGCATGGTGCCACTGTATATGGACGATCAAATGGAAAACACTGTGGCAGCCACAGCACAGTTTTGTCAAAACCCCAGCATTTTCATTGATCCATTGATCAATTTAGTTGGTCAAGTTTTGAACCCACCACAGCATACTTTTGGCGCTACTGTATATGTTAAATACTGTGGTAGCCACAGTATAATTCTATCAAAACCTCAGCATTTTTATTGATCCATTGGCAGTCGACAAACGTTTTGGCACTTGATAGGCCATTAAAACTTGACCTCTCGCGGTCATCTTGAAAAAAGGCTTGAATTAAATAATCATTATTACACGTTTCTTGAGCAGCCCTTGAGTTAACATTCCCCGCAGAATCATTTAAAAAAATATAAAACCTTTAAACGAGAAATAGAAGGATTTTAAAATTTTAATCCCATTCCGTGCAAAATTTTGAAACCTGCATCATCAAGCCGTTTGTGTTCTATAAATGATCAAAATTGCAACATTACAGCCTGAGGGTGAGGACACCAAAAAGGAGGCAAATTTGACAAGAGTTTCAAAACCGGTTCGATCACAACGTGAAAAACATCATCGACAGTGATGAACAACTGTGATCTATATTTTCAAGCTCTACCACATTGTTAACAAGCTCCCTGAACTGTCAAAAAAGTACGATGATACCATTCTGTGCATGATCTATTCAGGAATGTTCATATTTGATTTCTGAACTGTCGCTTCCCGTATGCGTCATAATGTTTGTACCATTCTTGAAGAGTGGTGAAGGTGTACATCGGCATTCTTCAAGGGGTAATCAATTATGCACACTGGGCACATCGACACGTTAGAGCACACTGTGACAAGTATGTCACAATATCTATATATACAGGGTGTTCGGTTCCTTAGTGCAAATAATTTAAGGGGCGATAGAAGATCATATTTGAAGTAAAAAATTGTTCTACAGATATAATCAAATCTCAAAGATTACTGAGTTATTGAACTTTTTCTGTTTTGGTCTATGCTTGCCATAAATTGACTCTAACTCAAAAACTATGCAATTTAGCACAAAACTCTTACCTTCATTGAACAGCTTGGAAAATTTCCTACCTAATAGTGTCATTTCTTTTTTAAGGTGATACTCTAAGGAAGCCTTAGCGTGAAACTTCAAGGCACAAATGTCAGCTTCCATAAAACATACAAATTTGAAATTGCTACTCTTTGTTTGTAGTAGCATAGCAAACAAGGAGTAGCAATTTCAAATTTTGTATGTTTTATGGAAGCTGACATTTGTGCCTTTAAAGTTTCACGCTAAGGATTCCTTTGAGTATCACCTTAAGTAAGCTGCATTTAGACACATTTTAGGGATAAATGAGTCTAAAACTTGTGATTTCCTACGGGGTTTCCTTATTATTTAAAAAAAATACGTAGTAAAGTGCATTGTTTTGTCTAACCAAAAGATGCCTCTCAATGCGCTCTACAACTTTTTCTTGGACATCAATTTTCTATCTTGTTTAGTTTTGCCGTAATTTCATACAACACGTCATGTTGGGTCGTTAATTTACGGTTGCGTAAAACACGAATTCAACCCCACCGTGCGTTGCTGTTGACGTCTGTTTGCAGCGCGCATAGCACACTTGATCGCCACGCGGAGTGAATTTCTGTCTGTCTGTCTGTCTCCTTATAGACTCGGAAACTACTGAACCGATCGGCGTGAGAATTTGTATGCAGAGGTTTTTGGGGCCAGGAAAGATTCTTATGATGGTTCGGCTCCCATAGAAATGAAACAGAAATGTCTGCATAACTCGAGAACTAATAAAGCAACTGAAGCCAAATTTGGCATGTACGGGGTAGCCCCTTAGATAAGAGGGGGGGGGGGACTACGTAAAATATAGCATGATTTTTTTTTTAATCGGCGCACAAACTCAAGCTAATATTGAATCTCGAGCAAGGCCGGTCACACTCAGCTAGTATAATATAAAACCACAAACAAAGTGACAGACGGAGCGGCTCGAAAACTTTGGTGACGAACCTGCTATTGCAATTTTTCAGTGTACCACATGGCAACACTACTACTGGATTGTACTAGAATTTTCACCAAATGTACTAGAATGTTTTGGTTGTATCTCTTTCACTTTACTCAAAACTAAAATGCATAAAACATGACCAAATGATATACCCTTTGCACACTGTGAAAGATCACTGCACATGAAATCAACTTTGTTCAAATCAAATCAAAATTACTAGCCCACCTAGTGGTTGATGGCACAAGCTTCTAAGAAAATGCTATTACAGCAAACCACATTATTTTATTTGATTCCTTCGCCAGTTAGTCGTATGTCACTTCGTTTGTGATAAAACGGCATCACTGTTTGTTTGCTGACGATTCTCCAATAGTTGCTTAGGTTTCGCACTTTGTTTACAGTCGTTGGTCTTTGACTAGGTCACAATCAGGGTCATCCTCTTTTGCAACCAACATGATTGCACTAGTTGCCTGGAGTTTCCGGAAGCGACAATATCGCTAATCACGGTTCACATGGGTAAATTCCGCACGCACTAAGTAGTGGCCAGATTCATAGCGTCATACAAATCAAGCATTTTCCTCCACGGATGAGCGATATGCAGAGCCACCGATTGCTTACCGTGTTTGAATAATCGGAATTTATTCAATAAATATTATGACAATCACAATCAAACAATCACAAACGTCAATAAAACTTCAGGGTTGCCAATCTCATGGGATACTCGATTGGCACCCTTCGGCACAGATTGAGGCGTACAGAGTTGATTACCCCTTGGCATTCTGAGTAAGTATGTCCTTCCGAAGATCACTGAGCAATATGGACCGCAGCCGAATGTGGTCTTTCAGCAAGGCGGAACACCTCAGACAAACATAGACCCACGTCTGGAGAGATATGGATCTATATTATTAGAACCTGTCGAGCATTCCGGAAGCGTGCTCAGGCCGTAATTGCGGCAAATGGAAATTCTTACGATGATTAAACATAGGTTTAATGTCGCGGATGCACTTGGATGCCAAACTATGAGCATGAGCATTATTTGTATAATAATTATAAGCACTATACAAAAACTATACCTAAACTATAGAAGTGGATGTGCTCATAATTTATTCTACAAATAATGCCCATGTTCATAGTTTGTCATACAAGTGTATCCGCGGCATAAGGTCCTAAAAACATATCCCATTAGAATAAATGAATTTTTTCACTCCGAAAATATTCAGTTTTTTTTTCCACAGTGTTTAATGGTGCAAATATTATCACGCATACGGATTGATCCTCGGATTAAATCCCGATGACGAATAGAGGGTTGTTCTTATATCGCTATTGGTTTTAATCAACACGATACAAGGCATACATTTGTGGTAGCGAGCAAGGGCGCTATAACCTAGGCGAATACAGCATTCCCTCCGTATAGGTTACGTCCGCACACCGCTCTCTGTTGTCCTTCGACTGAGGTCGGCTGGATCAATTGAGGGATGGCAGTGGGTTGGCGGTGCCGTCCACGCTTGTACGGAGGGAGGACTGTACGCTCGAACACAAGGGGTAAATACCTGTGTTCCATCCCAGGAGATCGGACAACCAAGGAGTGTACATTAACTTTCTTAGCTCTGTTACTCCCAACGATTTATATAGCCTATTTTCAAATCCTGCATACGGAGCGGTTGGTACGGTATGTCCCCGCTCTTTAATTACCTGTGGATTAAATGTTAACCACTGTCTATACTTATTAAGTAGACATGGTAAACATTCACTTCCACAAAAATTAACTAAACGCTACACAGTAGGCCTGGCCGCTTTATTGTTTGTTTCACATCCTTGATGTGCAGCAGGCATTAATAATGACAAGAAAAATGATAGATGTATCATTTTCCAGGATTCTTTCAAGTACTGG